ATATAATGTTTTATGAGGACTTGACCAATGGAACCACCCTTCTAACTCGTCTAGGGAAAAAACTCCTCATTACAAACACTGGGGGCCAGGAACATCAAGTCCCCACTGCTGACCAGGTACCTCTGTAATAAATTTCCATTCTTTGTGCTTTTCCTCCTCTTATGCTTATACCCTGTAATCAAGTGACACACTGATCTGGAGGGCATTTTCATAAGGTTAGAGTGGGCAGCAACGAGAGACTGAGTTCAGAAGGCTCTTTCCTGTCCAGACTGTAGGATAGCAGCTGGCAAACTGCAAATTTACAAGCTTGCACACGGACATCTCTTACCTGCAAAACTAGAAAGAAGCTGTTGAAGTGGCTTTAAGGAATGGAAAAGTGGGGATATGGGCTTCATTTAACTCTTAGCTTGGTAGGATTATGGGAGATGGCTATGTGATAGGTGAAGAGATGAAAGCAGCAGCTTATCATTAAAAAAAGATGTTGGCATTTGTAAAGTTTCTTGGTAATTTTCTGAGAGAGGCAGGAGACCTCAACAGAGCCTTGCTCACAGCAAGCAAACCCCAGCCAGCCAACTCGAGTGGCAATTGGCATCCTCCAAAGTGAAAGTGGCTGCCTGGCACTCAGGAGTAACTGCACTTCTAGGCAGAGCTTGGCAACTTCACAAAGATCACAAAAACTTTCAGTTACAAAGTAAAAACAAAAAGGACAGAGCAATATGAAGACAACATGCAGGTAATGACAGTGGCTACTTCACGCACAGGAGAACTGTGACCAGCCAGGGGCTATCCCAGGCTGATGCCCAGGGAGGCAGCAGTGTAACTTCCCATGGTTTTGTCCACGTGTTTTTTCTCTCTGGGTGTCAGCAACTGAGGTGGGGAAACCATCTTAATACCAATTTCAGTACCAAAGGGAGAAGGATCAAAGCTCAGCTCTCATTCCTTCTTCCTCTGGCAGAGCGAGATCCGATATGTGGACAGAAGTGCTATTGTTGAGTGGGATATAATTGCTTCCAACGGGATAATCCACATCATTTCAGAGCCTTTAAAGGCTCCATCAGAACCTGTAAGTACACAGTGATTCAGGTTTTTGAGGTGGTGAGAGGTAACTGCTTTATTTTACCCTATTTTAACTCATTGCTGACATACGTATATTCCCAGTTTCCCTGGCATATATACAGCTTTCAGCTTAAAAGGTTACTTTCAAAGAGAATTAGAAGTTGAAAACAAGGTACCAGTGATACTGAAAATTTGTCTGAATTATTTTTTCCCACAGTTATAAATTTGTTTTCTTTGTATAAAATAACGGAGCTCATGTATGTAACAGAGATTTTTAAAAGCTCCATTTTAGTTCTCCCACTTTCAAGCTTCTAAGGCACCTTGTTTACTCTTGCCTTGGCATTCGTTCCTATCCAAAACAAATGGTGTTTTGAAAATAAATATCTTTTGCCTGCATGAATTCCTGCAAAGCTCCCAGGTATCCAGCTGTCTCCTTGGTCCCCAAGGTTTAGTGATAGACTTGGCAATGCTGAGTGAACAGTGGGATTTGATCAACTATTTCAACATAAACAGTTCTGTGATTCTATGAAATGGCCACATTTAATTGTCTCTAGGGAACACCTACCCGGAAACCCAAGCACAAGGACAGCTCAGGACCAGAGCATATCTCAAAGGGACACTGCACATGCTTGGGTGCTGTAAGCTGAGCAGAGCCCAATCCATAGCTCACCCTCTCCCTTGCTTCCAGGCTCCTCTCCATGCCAGTACTGGGACAGGAATATTCTTTGGCATCTGTCTAGTCACTGGAATTGTGGCTCTTATTGGATATTCTTACCTCAGGTTCAGGAAAAAAAACATCAGCTTCCAGCACTTCAAGGTAGGTAGCACGTGGGAACACAAAGCAGGCGGGGACAACTGCACTTCCCAAATCCACAACTTTCCATTTCTCCATACATTTTGTTAAACTAGAAACATTCCTGATCACTTCACACGTGAGCTGTTCAGACTGAGACACAGAGAAAGTGGGCAAAGCCCACTCACTTGCCTTGGCCATGAGCTCATGCTTGCCCCCAGATCTCTCCACCCAAGTGTTTGCTCACACAGACACTTCCAACACCAAGGGCTGGCCCAGAGCTGATCTAACTACACCACAGCACTGCAGAAATCCTCGCCTCCCCAGAAAGCTCACCCTTAGGGAAGCAAGGAATTACAACCACTGCAAGGGCACCTGTTCTCCTCCTCCATTATTATTATTAATTTTGTTGTTCTGGGAAAAGGCCCGATCCAGCAAACAAATTGAAATGCCTGTAGGATTGAAAAGTGCAGGTTTGTATACTGATGCACTTTCATGCTTGATTTCTCTTAACTAATTTTGCAAGCAACACACAGATGCAAAACCAGCCAGCAACAGCCAAGCTACAGAGATGAGGGATGAGGAAAAAAATGTTACTAAATACCCAAAAACAAACCCAAAAGAAAGCCTACCTAGAAGTGAACAGAAATCCCTTCCCATTCTAGTCCCTGCATGTAACATGAATCACCTTGTAGAAACAAAACCCAGTAGCCAAGAGCTATAGAGGAAACACTTCTATTTTTAAATAGTTTCAATGAGGGCCCTCAGGACTAACCAGGTACTTTTTACCCCAAGCAACATTTCAGGGCCACACTTCCTCTCCCATTCTTTGCTAAGGCTTAAAAATAAGAAGGGGGAGGAAAAGAGATACTAGTGTTAAGCGACCCGAGATAAAACAACTAAAACCACAGTTCATGCCCAGAGACAGATTTAGACTATAAAGCCAGTTGAATCACAACACTGCACCAGCTGGTAGGGAAGCTCAAGTGTCCTACTTAATGCATTGGGGGAAGAGGATGAAATTTAAGCAAGTTTGTGTGCTTTTGTGTAGTCAAAAGATGACATTGACACAACGTCACTGGACAAGTCACAGCCTTCAAATATCACCAACCCCTCATATGAAAGCTCTTCAACAGTGACTTCACCAGAACCTACTTATGATCTTTTCCCAGTAAGTGTTCATTTTGATTTGAGATTGAGACACTACTAATATAATGGTAAGAGGGAATGATTTTATTAAAGAATAATGTCTAGTTGGAAAAGACAAATTAATTCAAGAAACCAGCATTTGAGCTCCCAGTTCTCCTGTCTCCCCCCTGCTTGAAATTGGGTTGCCTCACCTGTAGTAAAATTGAAGCTGTGGTCAACAGCTGCATCTCAAGGCCATCTTCAAAGACAGCTGAATTAAACTGGACTTCAAATGCCACTGGATGACAGTGACACATCTATACAAACTTTAAAAGCCTTCTAACTTTGCCTCCATGTCTCCTTGCTGCAAACGCTAAGAGGCTAAGAGGCACGCTAGCACTCCAAAGAATCTGAAACACAGCAGGGGGGCAGCTCGAAATCCAGGGAAGGAAAGACTGCACTCTCATGTACATGCAGAGTCTAAAATCAAAATGCACCATTTTGCATCCAGTAAAAGGACTTGTTTGGTGCAAAAATGTCAGGTGCCAACTCTGCCATCTGTACAGACAAATTTGCCAAAAAGTTACCTTTGTTTCCTAATGTAATGCTCAAGTCTCATTTTCTTTTTATTCTATTTTGTAGGATTCAGATGACCAACAGCTTGTGATGAGTGGTCCTCACGATCAGAATTAAAAACTGAATTTGGCATTAGCCATCTAAAAAACACATTTTTTTTTTACACTTACTGTGGAAAAAAAGAGAGCCTACATTACAGGGAATAAAATCTTTTTACAAATTAAAAACCAAAAGGGCACAGCTTTGTTCAAGATGCCTTCTATATAGCTCACAGAGATACCAACTTCTGAAGTGTTTAGCTGAATGTGAGCAGTACCAACTATGAGTGCTAAAACCAAAATTGAGTCTCAACTAACCTACCCAGAAGCAGACATCTCTCCAGGAAAAGCAACTGATTTTCACTCACCTGCTATTTAACTGCTTTTATTCCTCTTCACAGACTTTAAAACGGCCACATGCACACAGAGCCACTTGGCAAATATCCTAAATTTTCTAGTACTCCAGGCTTGTGCTTTCATTTTGGCTCAGTTAGTTAGAACAGGCAAGTGTGAAAGAGAATATGTGGTAAACCTCTACTTTTAAACTGAGAGGGGTTTTTCTTGCTGGCATATTTTCCTGTTAGATAGTCAGCAGCAGGAGACAAACTATCCTGTCTGTCCCCCTTGCCTCCTTTAGCTTCTCTGTCTTTCCTCAGCCTTGGCTTGATCTTTGGTTTACATCTCACCTCACTGTACAAAGGGAAGCAGTGACTGAGGCAGCTTTAGGAAGAAATGCAGGTGATATGAAAGAATTCAAATGAACCATTTTTGTGAAAAGTGGACTATGAAGTTGAACATCCCCTTGCCATGCAATGTCTACATTCAGTTTTTCAGGTCATACAGTGTTTTTACCAAGCACAGCATTAACAGCTGCGTGTGTGTGTGTGACCACACACTACTAGAGATGAATCAAACCTGAGATTTACTCACCGTCACCTCCTTCCATCAAAATATTAAATATCATAATGAGAACACGAAAGAAACCACTAAACAGCAAGAAAAGAAAGGTTTTCTCCCTGGTAGCAGTAACATCCCCTCAGTCTATAGGGGCAGGAAGGAAGCCCAGGAAAGCTTTAGTTACCTCTGGGAACTACCCCAGGAGGCATTCCCTCAGAACAAGGCCGGGGCAAATCGAGGGTTATTGATGCAGCTATCAAGTACAAGGAAGGGAACATAACGTGTAAATACACTCATCTGGATGAAACACACAGACCATTTCAACTCTTTCTCCTGTACCCCTACACAAGCCTGCTTGTTTTCACAGACTTTATAAAGTTTAGAACACAAACACTTAAATGCACACACACATCTAGGAGAGTTTTCCCCACAGAATTCTGCAGTCAATACAACTCATGTTCTTTCCTTCTCCCCAGTCAATCAAAACATTAAGGCTCACAGAGACCAGAAGATAAAGTCCAAGCATTTATTTTCGTAATAATCATTAAATACTTTTATCACAAAAAAAAAAAAAAAAGTTCCACAATTCATTAAACTCTTTTTTTACTGACAGGCTATTCAGCTCTGTGTTTTTGACAGACCAGAACAAAAATTTCGTCTTGCTTTGGTGTTGAAATGAACCATACTACCAAAATTAGTAGACACTTCCCATTAAACATGCCTAAAAATCCCTAAAAATTAGTAGCATAAGGTTAAAATGAGTAATGCAGAGAGCATCAAGGTGAAATAATTCTTAAAATGCAAGATATTTTTACAAGTTAAAAAGCAACACTTTAGCACTGAAAAATAAATAATACACTTGAGTATTCTCACTTAAGTTTCTATTATATATAGTTGGGTCATTTTAAAGAAACATAACCTTTCAATAATTAACTTTTTCATGCAACTGTTTATTTCAATAAGTCATGCAATATAAACAATATTTTACTTCAGTTGGCTGTTGCAACATAGCTTGGTAGAGAAGTTTGATTTCTAACTTAAGGAAGGGGGAAAGAAGAAAATCTTGAAACAAAACGTGCATTTTGTGCACAATACAACCATCCAAGCCAATTAAACTATTCCTGCTTAACACAGGATGAATGTACAGTGGTTTGGGTGGGTCTTTTTTCTAAAGAGTGCATTGAAATCTCTGGAGCGTGAAAGGTGTTACACACACATAACACCAAGTTCAGTTGAAGCTGAGCATTAGGATTAAGAACTGAAGGCAAATCAGGATATTCCCACCTTTGTATTTCATTATCAAGTTATGCTAAATATTTCTTGCACAGCCCCACCAAATCAGCTCCTGCTGATTTGCAACACATTATCTTTTTATTCCAGCAAAACAAGCAGGACAGTCAGATGAACTTACTCATTTCAAGTATATTCATCTGTTTAAACACAGGGGTGTTTAAATCACACACTTCAGTCAAGTTTGAAATAGGAGTATAAGAAAATTATAAAATCTAAACCACCTCTGAGAACTTCGTACTGATTTCAAGCATACAGGAAAACTACTTACAAAATTGTGCAGATATTCTAAATTAGAATACATTCTTTACTTTGCAAACATGCTTTTAAAAATATGAAATATACTGTATATGAAATTCAATCCAGGTACTTGCACATACAGACAGGTTAAAAAAACAAACAAACAAACCAAACCAGAAAACTTTTGGTCAACAAAAGTTTGTTTGCCTGACAATCATGATAGAAAGCAAACGATATCCCAAAATGAATACCAAATGTATATGTTTTGTTAATCACATGCTTTTAAAAAACAAGCCTTTAATAACTAAAATTTGAAAATTATTAATCATATTATGCCTTCTAAAGTGGCTGGGGTGGGAAGCACCACTTCAAAAAAAAGAAACATTTCCTTTGGATTCAGAGAAAGGAAACAATCCTTATTTAAGAACAACTATATAGCAATTCTATAAAGTGCCTCTTTGAGGAAATACATCAACAGATGTTTTCCTTGTGCAAAATAGAGATTTTTCAGCTCAAATCTTTGAAACACATATGCTACCCGGAGTTTGTGCTCATGCATTACTTTCAATATAAGTAATTCAATAAAACTTCTAATCTATACCGAAACTATCTTTGTTTATTCAAAATGTGTACCACTCCTAATTTAGCTTTCAGAACTTGAGCTAAAAATACATCATCAGAAAACTCTGGGTTTCATTTTCTCATTTCTTAGTTTTTCCTTTAAGTCCTTTGCCCATTGTGCGTGTTTACTTTTGACTGTAGAAGTCCATTACTGAAGGCTGTATGAAATACATTCTCTCCTAGGGAACAGCAAAGCCACATCGCATACCACTGGAATAAGACACTGTTAAAATCTTTCAAAGCAGCATTTAGGATCAAACTGTGTTCTGAAGATCTGTCTCCACTCTTTATAGATCTCTCCTGTAAAGAGATCTGTCTCCACTTCAAAATGCAAAACTTCTTGAAACAACTACTACTGGAGAATGAAACTCAAAAAAAAAATTTAAAAAACCGGTACCTAAAAGTTAAGAGAAGGAAGATGAAGCAAGCTACTGCAAGTTTCAGTTTTAGGCTCAGGTCTACCTGCAGCTAAGCACAGACATGGCAAGAATAGAAACTGCTCAGACAGGAGAAAGAGCCTGGGAGCCTGAGGCCAGTGCAGCAGAGCCAGGACACTCCAGCCCGTGGCCCCTCACAGGTAAGGCTCCATCTGTAGCAGCAAGGAAAGGTACAAAGTGTGAGCATCCCTCTCAGTCTCACCCTAAGCTGGTTACTAACTTGTATCACTGAATTGCTAATACTGGATTTAAGCTCTTCTGTGCCAAGATCCATTTCAGGCTTCAGCTGGAGTGCTGAAAGGGCCAGAAAAGAGTGTCCTGGTATTTCTTTGTAAACCACAAGCTGCAGATCAAAGTTTTCAATGAACAAGCAAAAATAACCACCCCAGAACACCAGCAGTCCTCCCTCTTAGATGTGCCCTCCCTCCTGGCCCACTATTAGTTTGGCAGTCCATCATCTCTTCTGTGTGTAAGAGGAGTTTTCACATATCTGAGCAAGAGAGGAGAAAAGCAGGTACAAAGCTTATGAGAATATGTATGAAATACATATAAACCAAGGTAAGAGATTTAAGTGACTTAAATAAAATACAGGTACATTCAAGAAAACCAACAGACATATTTGTCCATTATAGAAACGAGCCACCAGCAGTTTATTTAACCTGAACTGTCTCTTGTAGGAAAGGTATTCTGAATGTACCAGTGCACAGCTGGTCTGACCAGCCAGGAAGTTCATGCTGCAAAGGAGTCCTTCTTGGATAAAATGTGTAATCAGGCTCGTAGTTCAAGAGACAGCTCAGAGAGGCCATGTAGATATCTGCAAACCTAGAGAGACGTCTCAGGAAGTACGTTGGATTCTCATCAGTTCTGAATATGCTTCCAAACTGTGCATTGAAGAAATTCCTATTCATCTCCCTGCCCCCCAAAAAGAGAAAACAAAGACAACAAAGTGAACAGAGCTGTACACATCACCAGCTGGCATCCATAACCTGAAGCAAGCAGATCCTAAAACCTGTTCTATGTATTATTCTCCTGCCATTGTTCTTCAAAACACCAAAATGTGCTACACAAGTTTATCTCTTGCACATATACAACCCAGGTCTAGAAATCACAGCTCTGGAGAGCTTCACACATCTCCCACTAGAGATAATTTGCTTCTGACATCAGAAACATGACATTTCAAGCCTTCTTTTCTAGTGATTGTGAAAGAAGATTTTTGCCTTTATCTAAATTCTAATGGCATCCAATGTTCCAAAGATAACATACTTCTTAAGAAAAGGCAAAGATTTGGTTTAATGCACACAAAAAGTTTAAACATATCTTGGAATTAAGTTCTGGGCATTAGTCACTGCCATGTATCATTCCTATTTCATTTATTCCCAAATTTCTGGGGAAAGCTGCTGGTGGTACAGCTGCTGGCCTTGAAAATTGTGCACTTCACATCACCTGCATTTAGGGATTTCACCTTAATGATAACAGATTATTAGGACTTCTGGCCCTATTACCTATCTTTGTGATAAATCTACTGCTAAATCCAATCTAGCACAGAGCTCAGTTTCTATGTATTCTAAGATGTATTACACACAATCTCCAGAAATCACGTAAAAAACCTGGGAAAGTGACCCAAGTCTTGACAAAAAGTATTTTTTATTCGTGCAGAAGCTGTGTAATCAACAGTGACAGCTGAACACAGAGGGACAGAAGAATCAAAATGAGAGGGAAAGGGATTTCATATGATGTTACCTTTTCACACAGCAAAGTTACATCTGTTCTAAAGACAGAGAACAGGGAAAAGGGTCCATATGTACAAAGGGTCAGAGGGGAGAAGAGCTGCACAAGAGACAGGTAGAATATTGCTTTAAAAATATTTTATCATGTCTGTAACTACCAGGGAATATAAACCAGGGATGAGAAGAAATTGCAAAGAAACCTGTGGAAGACATTGCATAGATCCCTTGACTACCAAAGCATACTGCAAATTCTTCATCCCCTGTGTCTTACCTCATTTCCTTTCTTTCCTTCTTCCATTCTTCTAAAATCATTTGGGAATCAGGATCACGGTGAACCTGAAACGTAAAGTATGGATAACCTGTAATTAAGGATAACTTTGTAAATAAGCCTTTCTATTAATAAACCCTTATCAGCTAACAGGACATGAGCAATAATTCAGAGATCTGTATACAGAACTTATCCACGTGCATTTCAAACAACCAAAAGCAGGACTTGATCCAGGCTGACCAATACAGAAAGGGGACAAGATGTTGAGAAAACTCCTATTGACTAACCACACAAACAATTGTATTTATCTACAGCCCAACACTTCAGCAAGACTGAAAACACTTGCAAACATCAATGTCCAGCATTTAGAAACTTGGCTGGATCCCTTTGGCTCTCCAGAGCTGATCACATACACACACACACAAACCTGCATGTGCTCCAATAATCCTGTCAAGGTTTGCAGCCAGGTCATGGTTTGAATGTACTTTTCTGTGTTCATGATTTTAATCTCCGATCGTAACTCTGGAATAATCGCACCAGTGCGCCAGCCATGCTTCAGGGTCAAGTCCTATTTACCAGGAATTACAAAATTACATTAGATATTAGTCTTAAAAAGAACTACTTAAAAGAAAAGAATCTGGCTATTGTTTATCCCAAAACATACTAACTTGTTTTTTATGTACAAAGAGAAGTATGAAATAGTGGGACTTAACTGTGCCAATGGACAATAGAATTTCATTTCAGATTAAGCATCAAATCCTACATTTTTGAAGAGAGATGAAGAATACACAAGCACTTGCAAATAAACACTGGTTCATTAGGTTTAAAACAAATAGCAGAAAATGCCTCAGTAGACGAGAGCTCTGCTGCTGCCAGCAGCACCTGGAGGAACTGTGCTCTGGGTTTGTGCTGTTTACCCACACCCCCAGCTGACAGAAGGCTACAACCAGAAGCCCCACCTATTCAAGCTCCGCCTGACAAGTACAACACAAGGCAGCTGCCACCTGTACTCTCCTCTCCATTGTACCAGAGCAGAACAGAGCTGTATCCTCCTCTTGGCCCTCCACCATCTGAAGCACACAATGTTACTGTTCTTTTTAAAAGCAGACTGAGGGGAAAATGCTAATCTACTGCTGCTGAAATGTTACCAAAGCTTGGCAGTGAAAAAGTCACATCCAGGCATTCATAAGAAATCAATTACAAAAGAGCCAAGTGGTGGTCACTTACCCTAAAGTAACACTTAACAGAGCATTTGTTCATTAAGATGGCAAAAAAAAAAATCCTAGAGAGTGGGGATACAAATCAGAGCAAGGTCTTGGGAAGAACATTCACAATTAGTGACTAGCAGATTGCCTCCTGCATTCAAAACAGAAGATCATTCAGCTGTCATCCAAGTCAGGCACATCCTGTACATTTGGATATCTGTGTTTACTTCCTATTACATCTGACACAATCAGTATCTGGATCAGAAATACAACCTCGCACATTCCTGACCACAGCTAGTAAACAACTTAAATGCCACAAGTCAGGTGGAAAATAAGGTTGGCATTTTACAGCACCAAGGTTCTTCGCTGAAGAAAAAAAAAAAAGCAATATGGCTTAACTATCAAATTTTGTTGTATTTTAAAATCTCAAAGTGTGTTACATTGAATAACTGGGGAGGAAGGGAGGAAAACTAACAGAAAGCCTCATATTTTCTCTGACTTTGGGAAAGCAATCTACTTACTGCCAAGTCACTGTATATGTGGTCACCAAAGTAGAGAACCTTAGAGCCCCTCCAGCCAGTAAGCTTCAGAAATTCATACAAGTTACCCTGCAGAAATAATGACATGGACATTGTAGCAGCATGTGACTTGCACCTTCACAGGCATGAGAAAGGAACTTACTACACCACAAAAAGTATTTCATATCACAAATCTGTTCTCGGTTCAGACACTATGAATCTCAAATTTTACAGGTGAGAGTAGCACATCAAGAGACTAGGACATACAATATCAACAATTAATTTGTACAACTTCAGACATTAAAATAACTCTCTTAAAGAATGCATCTGCATTTTAGAAGCCTTTATATCCAAAGAAGCTTGGGATTCTAGGAAATAGGTATGAAATTTCAACAGAAAGAATCTATTAAAAGCATACCTGTTTGTAAATCTGGCCTTTCTGCAGCTTGTGAATCTTGTCCCAGAGCAAGACTCCCCTTTCATTCACCTTCCGGAATGGTCTAGAATAGATATACAATTATTATGTTGCTGTAGAAATCCTGACACTTCTTAGGAAATTAAAGTCTTAATATTAAAAATATTCATCTCTCAAAAGGAATAAAAGAGTATCTCTAACATCTGAATTTTGTAAGAGAAAAAGCAAAACTCTAAAACGTCCACTTTAACCAGTGAAAAGCAATGTAACTCTCCAGTATACCTATGACATTTATAAGCAGTTTGAGAACAACTGCTGAGAAGTAAGGCAGAGACCCCAGCAGAGGGGAATAAACAGCATGAATTGTCTGCCACTAAGGAGGAGGGAACACAAAAAAACAGATGTGTAAGAATCTTGCCCAATCCCTCAATTTCCATACCTGGACAACTGAAGATGAGAGAGCACAGGACTGGGGACATGACACATAGCAAAAAGTTTTTTAAAATTAAATGCAAAAAGTAAAGGGAAAATAATCCCACCTCCCTCTATCTTGCTTTCAAATCATAAGGACACATAAAGGAACAGGTCTTTTTCAAGGGTAAAAGTAGGTCATACACATTAGAAATGTGTTTACTTAATCACAACTAGTCCAAATATTCCAGTCTGTCAGCCAGACAGATGCCTTTTAAATATCATGTGTGATGAAAACAAAAAAGACTCAGAAGCAATGGAAGACATTTCCAGATCAGGGTCTGATTTGAAAGGCATCAAGATTTCTCATGTTTATTAGGAAAGAAGCACACTTCAGCAACGTGCAAATAAGATGCTAAGTACAGCTTCTGTGGCCCTAAGTTGCTCCAGTAGACCTGTGACAGCTCCTAGAACCTTCCTAGGAAGAAATAGTAAATATTTAGACTTCAGCATTGGGTGTTGCTGCATTTCATAATGACCTTACCCAGGATTTCATCAAATATTATTTCATTTTACATTGCAGCCAAAATAGTTCCTAACACACTCTATAGCCTTATATGGAAGCGCTGCTTGAATCATTCTTTACTGACTGAACACCCACCTTCGCTTATCGTTGAAAAAGTTTGGTTTTTCAGCCTGGACAATGACCACATCAAAGAGATCCCTCCAGTCCTTCCCAACAATGAACTTCATGCCTTTGTCCCTAAAAAGGACAGAGGCAAATTAACAATGAAGTGTAGCAAAGTGCAGTTGCCCGTGCAATAAAATGAATTATACTAGAGAACCTCATCTTCCCCATCCTTTAAGAATGCATTGTCAAACAGCAAAGAACTGCTCACTTACACAAAGCTGCTGGGACTGTTTGTGATGAGAAACATCTTCTTGCCATGATCAGCCAGCTTTGCTAACACTGCACGAGTTTGTTCAGCATAGCAGATGTATTTCTCTATGAGAATTGGGGAAAACACAGTATTAATTGAGAAAACGCTTGTGAAAAATTTTGGATGCATTCAACCAAGAGTTCAGAACACAAGGTTATACTTAAACACACTTCTGACAAGTGGGAATAACTCTTTCAAACTTTAAAAATTTATAAGTTGTAATCTCCAAATATGGAAGCCAGAAAAATCATATACTACCAGTAAGAAAAGCTTTGAGAGATTATACCATTAGGACTTACCAATATCTGCTTCAATTGCTCTGTACATTATCCCTTTGATATGAACATCCCTGATGGAATCCTGAAAGGAGAGCAATGAGCAGTAAAGAACTTCATCTTTTCAAGTGTTCACCAAATAGCAATGGTAATTTGTTTTTGAAACAACTCGTTTCTTAACACTTCCAATATTACAGAAACACCATGTAATGTGCAATATAATTATATATACATATGTGTGTATATATACACATATATATGATGTCACCAGTAGACAAAGACAAAGATTGTCTTCTGAGAAATTAACTTCATGATTTTGGGAAGTACAAAACCATATAGCAGAGGGGCTGTTTTACACAACTGTTCAAAGTTGCTCAGGAGGGTGAAGTGGGGTGAAAGGCCTCTGCAGAAACAGAGTCATCACAGATTTCCAGTGACCTTTGGAGCAGAACACATTCCTTTCTCCTTACAAAAAAAAAATAGTTGTACATCTGACAGATTTCAGATTAAAATCACTCACAAATGCCCTGATTATTTACATAAGGAATTTATTAACAGATGAAAGAAGCTAAGTGTTTGAAAAAAGTACTTATAAGGCGCTTTGGAGGCATTTAACAGCTCTCCTGATCCAGCTCTATACCAGAAATTTTGCTTAGAATACCACTGTAGGGTTTCCAAAATGCTTGCAATGCTGAATAGTACAGAAATTTCTCTCTGTACTTCAGAGAAACCACAAGAACTGGTCTTTTCTATGTTACATAACCATGACATAAAATTACCTCCTCTGCAGGACACATGCTGAGGAATCAAGAGGGTCAAATTACTCTAGACTAGTACTAGAGCTTTTCTGGTGGAGGAAGAGGTAAACAGGAAAAACAGATAGTTCAAAAGTATGAGGTAGAAAATGACTGTATACTAGCCAAAATGAAAGCTTTAAACTGGAATCCCCTGTAGCCTTTTACATTCCCTATAGCCTGGTAAATCCCTGATAGTGAGAAAAAAAGATATGTTCAACAATAATCAAAATAACTTTTATCACTTTACAAGATCTTCACTTTCCCCCTATTCACCCATCAAACTCATAAAAAGAGCAAAAGCCCTAGAATGTCAGCTTTCAAACAAATTTCAGTTGATTTTTTTCCAAGCTCTACCTTAATTTTACTTATATTTTTACAGTTATATACCCATAATTACTCCATACCAAACATAAGGTGGGGTATTTCACTGAGGCTGGCACAACAGGTGAAAGCTTCCCAAAGTGCTCACAGTTTACACACAAATATACAAGTTGATCTAAATCCTGAATGCTTGACATCTACCTTGACATCTTTGTACAGATGAACAGGTTCATAATCTATGTTGTTTTTCAGAAAATATTCATTCACACAAGAAAGGAGTGTCATTTCTGGCAGGGAAAATATATCCATGAATTGCTTCATTGTATTTCCTTGTGAGCTCTACAGTGTTGGGAAGAGAAGAAAATAAAAAGCAAAGTCAGGCATTTCTCAGATTAGAACGGTTTCATTTTTTCAGTAATCTGTTCAGTAAACACTTCAGCTTAGTTGCAGATATTCAGCTTTTGCCATCCCTACTCACATTGCTACAGATTGTTTTTCAGATAAGACCTTCAATAAAGTTCTCCAACAAAAGTGTTGTGATTAATTCTCCAAGTAAAGTCATCTCATCACTCTTAAGAGCAGTATTTTAATTGATGAAAACAAGACAGTGCTCAGCTAAAATTCAAGAGAAGACCTTCACTAGAAGTCCGCACTTCTGCGAACAAGAGCCACTGATCAATGAGGGTTGGAGTTTTTCTTATCAGTTCAGTGGTTTTTCTAGGAAGTGGAATACTAATTAGGATTGCAAAACAATTTACCTCCTTGAAATGAGATAGTAAAAAGTCCTAAGGATCTACAAAAACTAGCATGGTAACAGAGGAAGAGATTTCTATTCCATAAAAGCTGTAACAATAGTTATGTTTCACAGAAGTGGAGAATCTCATTATATAGCAGCAAATACAGCCCAAATACCTCCCAATAAGAAGGGAGGTAAATCAAGCAGCTCGGGATCAAAGTAACACAGAGCAGAGGTTGCAAGGGATCGCTGGAGGCCATCTTGTCCAAGCCCCCTGCTCAAGCAGGGCCACCTAGAGCCAGCTGCCCACGGCATTGTCCAGATGGCTTCTGAGTGTCCAACGAGAGAGACTCCACAAGCCCCTGGGCAACCAGACTGTGCCAGTGCTGGGTCAGCCTCACAGCAAAGGAAGCATTTCCTGATGTTCAGAGGAAACCTCCTGTGTTTCAAGTTTGTGTCCCTTGCCTCTTGCCCTGTCACTGTCCTTTATAAGATCAAAGAAAGTATAGACCTAAACAGACCAAGGCATCCCACTGGGAATGCCAGAGTGATATTCACAACTGCTGCAGAGACTAGATCCAGGAATTCTAAATTCAGCTCCTTAAAATAAGAACAAGTGCAAGAACAATAAAATGTTCCACATCACAAAGAAGGGCTTTTCATGTCAACATGAAATTAACATCTGTACATAAAAAGCAGTGAAATAAACTTGGCTTTTTAGCAAAAGGTCAGCTTCATCCTTCATTTGGAGAAGAGGAAGCAACCCACCAGAGGGAAAAAGCAACTTTCTCAACAAAGTTTAGGATTTAACTTAGAAGTGTCATCTTTCATCATTTATCTTTTGTCAAATCCTTTTACTGTCACTCTGCCAGTCTGCATGCAGGAGCTGCCTCCATACACTTACTTGCTGCTACACCAGCTAAGCCATCAGACCACCAGGAAAAAGTAAAGTACATGAACCAGATATGGCTCATTTCCCAGCCTTTATCAGATCCTCTGTGCAACACTGAGCAAGTCACTTGATTTTCTGTCACCTACCACTCTGTCTGTATGACTTGGTAAGGAAATAGAGAAGAAACTACAGCAAGCAGGAGAACAAAAAGTCATTTATCACTTTTGAGGGCAAATTTCACATATAGCACTAAACTAAGTCAACCATATATTGAGAAAATATACTGCTAATTATAATAAGAACAAAATTTAAACCTCTATACTCATGCCAAAAAAAAAACAAAAAAGAAAAATACACAACCCAATAAAAACCCCACACAACCAATTCTAAAGACCAGTTTGTGCTTTTACCTTTCCATAAAAGTCACTCATTTGTTCTAAAGGGACATGGGAACCATCATACATTGCAACGACTTCTTCATCTGGGACAACACTGAGGCCTCTGGAAAACAACACTAGCTTTAGTTCAAAAGTCATATTAAAATCTTCAAGTAATCACCAAACTCTGACAGATTAACACTTAAATCTGGATCTCATAAAAACACTAATAATGTCATAGGAACATTTTTGTTAGTAAGTTAAAACAGCATCTTTCCTTTATCAAACAAGTAACATTTTAACAGACTCATGCACACAGACCACATTCCAATTTTAAGTCCCTTCTACTTTCTTATGGGAAAAAGCTTATCAGTCTCCATTAAAGCTATGCCTCAAGGGTTTTTTTAAAAAGTGGTTAGAACTTCCCATTTCTTAACACAAAGTAATTCCTCACACTGCCTTTTCTTTTATACAGCATTGATGATATGATAGTGTTTAAACCACATTATTCTGCAGCATGACCTTGAAGATTTAAGGGAAAGAAAATTACACACAACCACTTACTAAACAAGAATTTCTTTTAAACTGTAAGACCAGTTCAGTTTCCCAAAATTTACAATTACTTGAAGGATGATTGATAATTAAAACATTCAAATATAACAACAAATGGGGAGAAGAAGATAATAGTTGATAAACTCTGAGGAGATGTTAGGAGAGTTAAAGGCTTTAGTTTGATTCTGAATGTCTACAGCATCATGCATCTTGCACTAAAGCATCTAAAAGACTGCAGGCATGCAAACATCCTCACCAGAGGCCACAGAAGTGTTGAGATTTTACTTAGGATTAGAAAAACACTAATGCAAACCAGATCAGCTGGTCTCCTTTTTCCAAACCTACTTATGGTGTTTCACAGCTTTGTAAAACAGATCATTATTTCAGTGCCTCCCTTTCTTGGTCTGACTAGGACGTGTTGCCAGGCATTAAAATAAAAATAAATTAATTCACAAGCCTAGTGCTTTCAGTGCTTAGAGTCCACACCAGCTTTGCAGTGGAAAGGACTCATTCAGGGCTTCTGTGGTGGCAGAGTCCCACATTAACCAGCTCTTTTACTGCACTTCTGTCCCCACACCAACTGGGACACAACTCTGAGCTGTGGCTGGCAGAACTCCAGCATTCAAGTCAGTCTTGTGCACCAACAGGGCAGATAATACTTGGGTTTTGTAACATACAGAGTTCAGTATCACATCCTCCACAGCAAAAAAACAAAGAAATACAACCAAAATACAAACCAGATACCAAGTAACACCATCAGAATTAAGGAGGTACCTTCTGGTCTGCAGAGAGCTATGCCAAGTGCTATTTGAATACTGCTAGAGGAAACACTTGTGCATCAGGAACTACTTAAGCACAGATCAACAGAGGACAATGTGAAAACCACAGTGGAGAGATGACTGACTAGGCAAAGCTATAGATTACTTTTACCACAAGACTCACAGTCTTGACACAGTTCACAGTGCAGCTGTAGAACCACACATCATCTTGACATCGGCCTCGTGGCCTTCAGCCTCTCTTTTCCTCAGATGTTTGGGTAAACAGCATGAAGATCTGGTGCAAATCATTTCCTAGTCACATCCCCTTTTGGACCCCAATTTGTGTGTTTTGTCTTAAGGGTGGGTGGGGGAAAACAACTGAGAATGCAACAGAATAAAACTGAGTCAAAGTCTTTTTGTCCAATGACTTTAGGAAAGGTGGTCTGGCTTCTTGTCTCATTTAAAATCTGTTACCAAGCGTGGTCTAAGTCCGATTTGGTTGATGTGTCCAAACTTAAAAGCTCTGTGCAAACACAGCAGGACTTCTCAAGTGTCTCCACAACCACACCAAAGTCATGCTATCAGGCATTCTGTGACAATTATTTACACAGAAAACAACAGCAGAGAAGACATCAGGGTATTTTTAGATGTCTTTCAGCACAATTTAACAGCCGGAAACAAAGTGAGTCAGCACTATGTGACCAAGCAGCTTGCCAATTCTCCCAGGGCTGGACTGGGGAATCAGCTGTGCTGGATCAGGCAGTAGATGTGTACACGTCTGTGTGTACACACAGAGGTGCAAAGAAAACTCCTTCCAGCAAGGCTGCAGTGCTCATTCATGTCTGTGCCCATTGGGGCACAGCTCCTGGTAAGAATCCGAGCTGTACACTAATAAATGCAATTAAAAGACACACAAAGTAAAAGCATACATTGTTATTATAAAGAAAAAATAACTTTACCTACCTGTAAACTGTTCCCAGCTGAATATAATGAAAAGCATCAATCTTCATTAATAATGCCTTGCAGTCAAAAAAAGAAAAGAACAGTTTTTATCACTTCAACTATTTGACATGAAATTACAGAAGTCAAAACAGTTATCTACAACCTTTCTGCCTCAAGAACACCTTAGCACTCCCTTCACAGCTTCCAAAATACTTTTATCAATGACTTTACCTAGTTTTATCCTGTTGTACCCTAAGTTATCTTTCCCCACCCACCATGAGGACAAAAATGTTCTACTTTAGAGTCATTTTAAAAAAAATATTATTCTTATTGATGATGTCAATAACAGTAATAACAGTAATAATATTAACTATAAAGAATAAAGCTTGCTATTAAAGAGAAAAGATGAAACAATCTTTACACATCAATGCAGAGTGAAAAGTTGAAAGGCTTAAAAGCTCTCTCAATTTACTTTGGCTAGGGTCTCAGCACTACATAACTCATCACAAAGTTATTTATACATACCCGGTGCACATCATAATGAAGTCCTCTAATGGCAAAATTTGGATCATAATCATATTTTCTTATTTCTGCAGGATACTAAGAAAAGAGAGCAATTATTTGACTTAAAAACCACAATCAAAACAATAAAAATTGTTTCTGCAGAATTTTAAAAGTCTAAGTTTTCTATGCTTCTCATTAGCTGTAATCATTTAGGAGAATTTTTCATAGGCTGGCGAGATTTGCAGGAACATATGTCTGCAAGACAAGTCAAACACTTTTCCAAAATCCAAGGTCATTATTTTAAATCAAAGGCCATCCTGTTACCTGAAGTTAGACATCCAGGTAGACTGTAGTGATTACCTTTGAACATTAGCCTCTTGTTCAAAAAAGTTAATTTAATATATTCTTAATGCATTCTTCATACATTAAAAAAAATTCATTTAGAGATGCACATGAATTGAATGTCTGTCATGTACTCTTCCCTCAGGCTCTTTTTATACAGTGTAGGTAGCTCACACCATTATACAGTGTGAACTGCAGTCCAACATTTTTCAGTACAAGATCATTTTCAGTCAACTGTAATTTTGTCCTGCTTTAAACACAGGTTGCCATGAAAAGAAATATTAGGTGCATGTCTTGGGCTAAGGGTTTTGTTCACTTGTTTTTAAAGGGTGAAATGCCTCAGTAGTTTCAATAAGGCCTGAGAAAACTATAATTTCCTACACTAAGCCACTGAAAGGCAATCCTTCATTTTCTTCCCACAGGCTATAGCAGCCTTAGAACCTGACGTTGTTTTTCACCTTCTCTACAACAGTCTCCATACATATATGGCTAATTCACAAGCCTTCAGGGGGAAACGTGCATTGTGCAGCTTCAACAGAGCCTCTAGCCACTTTACAAGAAATGAACTGTCATTTCCCCCCGAAGTTCTTATCTTGCTGAAGAGGACTGGCTCTGGAACTGCTGTAGATTGCATTTGTACTGAGTACAGGCATCTACTGAGTACAGTTAAAGAAAACAGCCCTATCACCCCCACACTAGCACTTCCAGAAAGCGTGGGGCAGGCTACTGATCTGAATGAAGAGCAGCATCCAAAACCTACAGACAGGCTGGAAGACGAATAGCTCTGGCCAGGGAACATGAAGCAGAGGCACAAGGGAAATCATCAGGGAATGATAAATAATGTGATCAACTAAAAACTACCATGCACTGCATGTGCCCCAAATCAACCACTTCAAGAATGTACAATGAAATTCATTTCTGACTTCATCAAATTTCTGCACACTTGACTTGCTACTTTAAATTTATTCTACTAGAAAGTTGTCTTTTTGGACACATGCAAGTACATATGAGAAAAAAGACTGAGCTCATCCTGGCATACAAATCAAAGCTTCCTTGCAAACCAAACAAAGAAATAATAAAAATGGTACTGTTTGCTTACCCCACTTTTAGTGGGGACAAATATAACTGGACTGAAACAGTAGTCCTGATAAAAAGGCACAAGGCCTGTGCATGAGGAAAGAAATAAACCCAGGAACAAGAGCTTACACAGAACACCTGTTGCCACCTCTGTGATTAGCATTAAATTGATGTTTATTCTCTTGGACAATTCTTTGCTTCCTACACTGCATTTTCCAATTTTTGATGTATTACCTCCCACTGGTAAAATTGGCTCTTTTGATCTGGCTGAGACAGTCATAATGGATACTATCTAGAGGGTCTTTTTCTAATGGTAAAGGCAAAAAAATATTAACAGTATAAGCAGCTAAATTCCAAAAGGAGACAATTTCAATAAGCTGTCTCAAAAAGTAACTACAGCTTTGTTTAGTAGAACTCAGGAGATTTTAACCAAGACAAACTGAAAACCTATTGCTACCCAAATCCGCTCAAATAGTAAAGGCAGAACGCCATTAGAATTTTTGTCTACAAGAATTAATCTTGACTCCTACAGTAACACATTTTTTTCCAAGAATGTAGCTTTAATAAAGCATATTTACACATCCCACAGAAAATGCTATGAAGACATGCCAAAATTGCAGGGGGATAAAGCTGTGTATGCATGTAGCACTCATGAAGTTTTGTTTGCTCTTCCAAGGATATTTATAGGTGTTTATATATAGCTCCTAACCTTTAGATTCAAATACGAAAGTAGAGTAACACCACGCATTCAAATTTAGGTTGCATAAAAATACACAAGCAGTTTTATTAAGATACTCCATGGACTTTTTGTCTTTTCCTTTCCTGCAAGTCCTACAGTTTAATTAACTTTGCTTCTTTTAGTCCATTGACTTTTTTCGGTCTTTCTCCCAGCAATACCTTGAGCTTCCCAAGCCACCCATCTCCCCCTCCACTTCCTGACACACGGGAGCTTTTCCCATCCCCAAACGAGACAACAAGCAGCTCCAAACTGCCTGAATGTCAAGTGGTCACTGATGCAAGATCGCTGCTTGGAGAGGCAGGAAGGCAGTGCTCTGAGCTGAACACTCCCTTGTATCCAGGCTCTGATCACTGCACACGCTGCCCCTTGAGCCAAGGCAGCCGAAATTCCAGGTACACACAGAGCACTCCGTGCAAGCAAAGCCCTGCTATAAAGTCCAGCTAAAAATATTTCACAGGGAAATTAATTGCTGCACTCACAGCAAGGGATGAAACACATTAATGGTAATTTTTAAGCTTCTTATTTATTAATGTGACGCCAATAAATGACAATCAGGAACAAACAACAAACCATATGCCCACATAAAAAAATAAGACAAATATAACTGTATTCCTTAACAGACTGTTCTCTGCTCAAAACTGCAGCTGAGAATAAAGCAGGGCTTCTGTTGTGCATGTGTAGCTGTTGTTGCTATAAGGGAGTCAAGCTAGGACTGAGACATGAAAAGATGATTTATGCCTCTCAATCAAAAATTATTTATTATACCTTTTATTCATTAATGTATTGTTATTACATTAATTGTACTTACCCGATGCTCATTAATAAGAAGATCTCGAGCAGCATTGAATATGAGTGTGTGCAGATGTTTAGAATAAAAGACCAAGGTGTAGTCATAATCGAATCCATAAATTTCAATGTCTGACAGGCTCATTTCATTGTTTGAAAAAATAGCATCTGGATTCAGCATGTTACTCATAATTGAAGGAACCAACTCTGTGAACAGGGGAGAAGAAAAAAAGTTATAGCAGCCTTGTAGTTTTATTTAAATAAAGACATAGAAATCCATTAGCAACTGCTAAATATAGATAAATTATGATGGAAACTATCAAACTAATTCACACTAAGCAGCTAATCCTTAACAATACGATGCTATTGAATATGCTGTCCCTAACTTGTCTTGGTGATCCCTAGTTTTTATTTGGAGAACACTTTTCTCTGCAATCCAAATTTGAACAGAAGATGCATTTTGGCATCTTGCTTATCAGAGAACACCAGACATAATTTTTCGCTAACTCCATTAACACATTTATTAATGTTTTTGAAAATGAATTTGGAATTGAAGAATATTATTGTATTATTATTACTACTAGCCTAGGAGCCTTGTCTTTTCCTCCCATCACTCCATCCAGTTCCTGTCCCTGAAGCAGAACTGACATTGTTTTAATTTGATGTTGCTTTATTTTTTGTTCCACCATTTCAGGGTTATCACATTAATCAACTTCAACTCACACAAACAAACTACATGTGACTGTATACATAACAACTATCACATACACATTGTTGTGTTTATTAACCTCCTAGAGAATCAGAAAACCAAAAATACTCTGCTTATTTTCTACACACACACAATGTGCACACCACGTCCATTTTTAAGGGTATGTTTCTGTTGATATTTGATGGAAAACTACACTGACTGAGAAATTAAAACCATGACATAATAAGTAACTTTAGGACCAACACCAATGTCAGTATTAAACATTAAGAGTGTTTATATTTCTTGTTTACAAAACTTAAAAGAGCAACATTAGAAGGTTAAATGCTGCTCTCCTGGCAGCATAAAGCACGAGCATATTTTCCTTCCTTCGTTTCTCATATACTGTCTTTATACTCCACACTTCTCTACCAGTAGAAAAAAATGGGGAACATTCATCTTAAACCTTTGCTTGGAAAGGTGAGTTTAAAGGGTAAGTGCTTTGTTTGGCTACTTTCTACATAGGTCTAAAAGGAATTGATCAAGCTTCTCTCAAAACCTTCAGCTCTGAGGACAGATCCCTACGTGCTCCACCATTGAAAATATCTCAACAAGGCAGATAGGCGTGGGGGCTTCAGATACAGACACTCAAGCCTTTTAATTTTTAAGAGAGGGAAAACAGCAAATTCACTGAGTTTAATTCCAAACTTCAAATAAAGCCCAGCAATCAAATCAAATGCAATTTGACATGCTACAATTACGCAAACATTCCTACCTAAAGAAAGTGCCATAGAGCATTCAATTAACTTGAGGTCATAAGCACAGTTTTTAATCAACTTCCAAAATCATGTTACAACACCCGTTCCTGTATTATAAAGTATTTTTTCAAATGTCAATTGTGCAGCTTGGCGATTCAACACTTGTTTTAAAAATAAAGATATTTATGTAGCTATATATAGATAAAAAGACACTTCAGCTGAAAACTAGCTTGACTGGTGACTGTCTGAAAACAGACAGTACAAACAGTTGGCAGCTATTAGGCATTCTGGCCAGCAGACAGCATCACAAGTGCTATAAAACTTGGGTCAAAAAACAGGAGAGCCTTGTAGCCTTGTCAATCTCAATAACTAACTGACATATCACATACTTGAAGTGACTTAGGTTGTAATATAATAGCCTGAAATATTCTAGAAGCTGTTGCCTCATCTTTCGCCAACTCACACCCACTGACCAACTTATTTTCTCACAACGTTACCCTACCTCAGCTCTTAAGCATTATTTGGGTGTGGTTTAGAACATGAAAAAGTTTATTCCAAAAACAGGAAAAGAAAAAACAGATTCAAAATAAAAGGCACTTCCCTTCTTCCTATCCCTTATCTCACCCTCTAAAGCAGACCTCTCTTGAAATCACTAACACAGCTTTTAATTTCACTTCTGAAACGCTGACACCATTTGACATTCACAAACGCGTTGTTTGCACCTAGCGCTGTGAAGTCCCAGTTCACATTCAAGACTCCCAAGTGCAGGAAAACACAGCAATTTCTTTTTTTAAGGGCAAAACATGCAATCTAAAGCATTATCCACCACCACTACAGGACATGCTCTTCCACTTGGTACCGAAGAACGCACTCTGTCTCTTTTTCTTTCAGCTTTCAGAAAAGACCACATTTTCAAGCAAGTATTTTCTTGGTAATTCTTTTCCCATCGGAGCAAGGGCAGAATCAAGCAAATATTTTTCCCCTAGCTTTCTGCCTGGCTGAGCTGAAGAACAAGGCTTCCGGGCGCTTGTATTGTACCGTGAGCATTTTATAATGCCTTGCACACTGCTACAATGGAACCACAGGTGAAATCAAAAGAGCCGTCCACAACTTCACAGCATTTTCACTTTTTGGAAGGGCAGCCTAATTCGGAATTGTCGTGTATATATATATAATAGTAATCAATGAGATGACCAACTTCTCGATTTTCTTTCTACATTTGCTTTTCTACACACAACACACCTCCAACACCTGGCTCTTAGCCCAGCCCAAGCTGCGCCGTACCAAAGGCGCTCCGGACGGGCGATGGTGTGAGGGCAGGATGAAGGCACAGCCGCCCCACAGCCGTGTCCCCGCTGTCCGGCCCCAGCCCCACGGGGTGAGGGTCTCCCCGCGCTGCCGCTCCGGCCCTGGGCACACACGGGAGCGCAGAGCACACGGACGGAGCCGCTCCTCGGCCCCCGGACCCTTCCCGCTCTCCCGCAGGCTTCGCCCTTGCTCCGCTCCCGGCCGCCACCACGGATCCGCTCCCTCCGGCCCGCTGAGGGAGAGCCGCGCCGCTGCCGCCCGCGGGCGCCGCTCACCTTTGGTGACCCTCTTGGCCTCCTTGTAGCGCGACCACAGGTAGCTCTTCATGTCGGGCGACGGCTGCTGCTGCTGCTGCGGGGCCACGGTGCAGAGGGGAGCGGCGCCCGCGGCGGGCAGGACGCGGCCCCGCCGCCCGCCCGCGCCCGCCCTGCCCGCCGCCAGCAGCGCCCGCGCCGCCACCGCTGCCATGCTCCGCGCTCCGCCGAGCCGAGCCGCCGCCGCCGCCGCCGGCTGAAGTCACTTCCTCGGGCCCCGCCCCGGGCAGGGAGGCGGGCCCGGCCCCGCAGGTAGCGGCGGAGGCAGGGCTTGGCCGGCCCCTCGCCTCGGCCGCCTGCGCTGGGGGGGCTCGGCTGCACCGACCAGAGGTGCGGAGGGGCTCAGCGCGGCCCCGGGGGCGCAGCCGGTGCGGCCGGGCCCCGCGTCTCCGTCTGCCGTCCCCAGGAGGGAAAGCAGCGTCCCCTCATCCACCGTCACCGCTTATCAGCGCTCCTGGGAGCTGCCGGGGGAACAAACCCCGACCTCATGGCTCTGCTGCTCTCCAGGTCTCTGCTGTGCTCGGAGCTGCCTGGGATTCTTTCACCAGAAACACCGCATCAGCAGCAAATATTTACCTCTCCTTGTACTCTCGCTTTTATTTCCCAAGTACCATATACACCTGCTTACATCTGTAATAAAATAAGCTCAAAACACAAGCTGCAAGTAAAATACACAGACATTGTATTGCTGTTTCGAAGCCCCTCATGTCCTTGCGAAGCACTAGCCACTAATAGCTGTAGACCCTGGCAGTATAAGAATTTGAGCCATATCTATTATACATGAAGAAATTTTAAAAAAAAATTGAAAAGAACTTAGACTATACATGGATGAAGAAGAATCGGACCAGACCACTGCCACAGCAAACTGGTTACAACTCCACATGTGGAATTCCTGATGTGCTCAGAAACTTGTTACAACAATGGGAACATAGTCGTTTTCCAGTACAGTAAACATCGAATACAACTTGTTACCATTTCAAAGAGATCTAGATAACCCATTGTTACTTATGTCTGGAAGTTACTCAGTCGTTCACCCCCATCCATCTGGGGAAAAAAAAAAAAAAAAAAAAAAAAAAAAAAAAAAAAAAAAAAAAAAGCAATCCTATACAAAACTGAAGGATTTCAGACTAAATACTGCTCTGAACATTCTCTTTTTTTTTCTTTTTTTAACAAAGAATGGCACTCACAATATTTTTACAGGCAAAACCACAACAAACTGAAAGGAAAATAATCACTAATTACTAATCTGGTACTTGCCTTCTTTGCTGCTCCTAGTCTGAGAATATTTTTGCAGAACCCTGCAGCTGACAAAATTAAAATTCCCATTTAACTTTCAGCGTCAGATTTTCCATGTACAACTGCAAAAAAAAAATTAAGTCATCTATGAAATTATAAGACTTGTAAAAGTCATTTTGAATTTATGGCATAGTTCTAGAGTATTGTAGGTTTACTTGTCAGCCCAACTCTTCATCACCTTTAACAAAACAGAAATATATAATAACTGGACAACTTTTTAAATCCAGCCTATGGGTTAATTGATCCCACATGCAATTCAATATAAATTAATAGAAAAAACCTTATTGTTCTTCTCCTGAATACAGCCTAGCCTGGTCTCCAAGTCCCAAGACTATAAATATTGTGAACAATAACCACTTCTTTAGGTGAGGCATTCTCAAAGAAGAATTACAAGAACTCTGAATAATACAAGGAGCATTAACAAAGAAGATATTTCCAGTGGTCAATGTGTTGACACAGGTGTTGTTTGTTGTGCCATAAGCATTAAGAGAATACTGCAGAGACAGTGACACCTTCACTGTGACACCAGCATTAAGGTTAGAAAAGTCTAATAGAAATCTGGATAAAGACAGTGCAGTGTTCTGTAGCACTCACTCATCTCTCGAAACCTCAAGGCTTTAAATTCTCACATTAATTTATTTTTTATATTATCAGACTAGAATGCTAATACTTCTATTTCTTCTGCAAGCAGGTGCAAGACAGAGCCTTGGATGTGCAAACTATTATTGTTGATAGAAATCCCATCTTTGCTGCAGTCAGTTTAGGTCCCCAGATAACCAGGACTAACCAATAAAATATCATTCTCCCTACCTATCAGACAACATGTTTTTCTAATGCCTGATGTATGCAATACAAATAAAAAGAAAAGTAATTTTCTTTATGTAGTTCTGTTAGCAAAGGCAACTTGCATGGGGCATTTGGCCAGCGAGCTATTCTCATAAATCAAACTAATCCCTAAGTGTTAGCAGTGAGACTAGAGACAGAACTAAAACATGAAGTAATGGTGTTTAAAAATAAGTTGCAAAACAACTCAGCTTCAGACAACTCTATTCTTTCCTGTGTCTGCTGGTCTCCAAGTAATGACTCAAATATTGGAAAATATGTGATAATATAAACTGGTATGAAGGAGCACATGTGGAAATTAATTTATCTTTATTTGGGGTCCACATTCCTTCTTCCAATACTTAAATCAGCTTTTATTTAAGCAGAAGAAAACACAAGAAGTAGAGGATGTCAACTTCAAGAATTTTTTTCTAAAACAGCACTTACCACGAAATATGATCCTGCAGGCTAATGCTACTCTAAATACTTCTTAATCAGATCAGTCTGAGTGATCCTAAAGACGAGTAACTGTGATGAAACAATGCACAAAAGAACCCAGACTTTCCCTCATTTTACTGTCAGAGTTGACCACATCCATGATACTTACTTGGTGCAAACTGAAAGGTGTTTAGGTATGTCTGAATATTAAAAAAAAAATTTAAAAAAAAGAAAACCCCATACCCAGCGGAACGAGTTTCACAGAAGAATTACCCTCCAAAGAAGAACCTCAGAAATCTGTCTTACAGAACAAGAGAGAGCATAGGCCTAAAATGAAAATGGCATGAGTTTTTCATGTACATACCACATAAGCTGATTTATATCTGGCATCCCACTATTATTCATGGCCTGTGGAATTAACTAGGACTTGGATGAGGATAATAGATATGATTTCTTTCAGTTAAGGAGAATACTTACAAACGGTTTCACTTTTGACTGAACTTTGTGACCAGGAGTAATTCAGAGAGAGGCTGCACAGTATCCTCATTCACAAACACCAGCTCTTTTAGCACTGCTGAAGGCTTAGGACACAGATGCCATGTGATCTCTGCAGGTGCATACATAAAACACCTCTGAGAACCTATGAAGTGTTTTGTGTATGTTACAGATGAGAGGTCAGACACCACATCTAATTTCTTGGATTTGACCATTTTGTTGACACAGGAAAAACACACAAATCTCCCTGCAGCCTACTCAGCCCTGCCAGCTATTTCCCACATCTGAGATCACTGAGAGCACTCAACACCTCAGAAACCACTTGGCCAATAAAGACACTCCTGCACTTAAGTCACTGAGGCACGTATTTCTAAGCAGCTTGTACAGCCTTCAACTAAAGCCTCTGACTGGGCTAAGAGATACTGCAATTCATTAAAGCACCATTAAATGAAATTAAAATGCAATGCTAGGAAAGCTGACAATGTCTTACTGCAGCTTCTACGGTGCAGTGTTCCAAACAGAACAGCTTTATTGGCAATAAAAACATTTGACAGATGCTGTCAGACAGTTGTTTATCGCAGAGGTGAATGACCTTGGACTGACAGAGAATGGGCAAAGGCAGCACAGAAACAATCTCCTGTGGAAGAATAAAGAACAGTCTCTTACCACCCTAAAAGATTCTGAAGAATGTTATTTTCATCATCTTTATTATAGTTCCTGCTCATGTAAATTTTCCTAAATATGTTTGTAAAAATTATTTTGCTTTTTTACAGAACCACCAGATGCTATTGAGCCAAGTCTTCTTGGAAACCATTACCCTTTTATATTCCCTTTAGCCAGAGTACCTCTCCCTCTAACAAATGTTTCCATATAGAAATTTTTGCCTATGTTTTATCCCAATATGCTTTTCATTTTGGTATTGATACTTAAAAATAAGTGGAATTCTGTTCATGTGCACCTATTTGGTAAAAGCATCTAACTCTTTGGAGAAAAATCCTGTAAGAGCCTGAGCTACTTACTTGCTTCCATTGCTTCTATCTCAATAATAAGACACCACTTGAAATTAATTTGCCACATCTAATATGGAAAAGAGAGAATAAAAACACACACTAGCCAAGCATATTAATACATGGTTAAAATGAGAGCAGAAAAATAAAGCAACTGAAATATATCAGAAATATTAGTCTCTGCAGTGTTCCTCACAAACTTCAATATAAAGCAGATCTGAATACTTTCAGTGTTACATTTCCACAGCACAGCTGGGTAGAGTAGATTCTGACTATTTAGGTCTGCCTGGTGAGCACTCGTCAGCTGTCCCTCCTCCCAGAAGAAAATGTGTAATCCAAACAAGTTATGAGATTTCCTGGTAAATGAAGTGGCACAATTTTACTACCCAGGCACCTGGGAGTGTGAATTCTCATACATTATTCCATCCACTACACCACACATCCTAAAAACTTGCCAAAATTATCAATATGTTTTAATAAAATTTGAAATAGCACACAGTTTGTACAGACTTTAAAAAAATCCCAAAACAAACCACAACCAACAGACAGATCCAGTAATAATACAGAATCATCTGAGTTGTAAGGTACTCAAAAAGGATCATCAAATGAAGCTCTTAAGTGAAAGGCCCATCCAGGGATCAATATTAAGCAATCCTAGATAGGGATGCAAGTTTTGTAACTGCTTTTGCCCAACTTCCTAGCTTTGCAGCCTAAGAGTACATTAAGATTAAATGGCAATTAAAAAAAAACCAAAAACATGCCACATCTTTTTTTTTTCATATGAGATAGTTTTAAACTATAGATGCACTTGGGAGCAAACTTAGCAGAGGAGTTAGAAGCCTGTCATTATTCTCTGTTGATACTATCCAGTATAGCACAGGCTACCTGTTATGTGACAGGTGAGCACTTAGCTAGCATGTGGTACAATGAAGTCTGAGTCTGCAAGGTAAAAAATAAGCAATCTTGAATTATTTTATACCAAATCTCAAAACAAAAATGCTGGCAAAGCAGGTACAGCCAAGTGTGTCTTTACTTAAATTCACAGTGGACAGGAAATGCAAAGGAACACTCTACAGAGACCATCACACTGTCTGGAAGATGGAGCACATCCTAAATGCCTGTCACCTCCCATTAGCTCTTGGACAAATTTGTTCAAGCCTCATAAAAATATCCTGGACTAAACCAAGTCCACCAGCCACTGTTAACTACATGTAATTCAAATTTTGTTTTGTAAACACATGAAGCACCAGGCCAAAGAAATTTAGATATACCCTTGACTTTGTCAAGGCAGTCCCAAAATGTAGGTACCACATTCATAAGAGTTAGGACATAATTTCATCGTGGCTTACACCAGAACAGAGTTTTCTATCCCCAGGCTCAGTAGGTGTCCAACAATTCATCCCCAACATGACAGAATGGAAAAAAAACTTACAGAATTCAGCACTTATACCAGACTACAGCTTAAAATTTCAAACGTATCAAAATCCATTATTTTCTTCACAGACAAATTTAGGTGACATGATCACATAATATGCCACTTATTACTCAATACTTTATATATAGCCCTGACTTTTCTTGAGATGGCTTGAAAACTCTGCCAGCTGTACTTGACCTCCAAATAAAGGATTCATCTTGCTATGCAAAATGCAGCTTCCACAGAAGCAAAAAGGGGAATATCCTTCATCCAAAAAAAAATCTGAAGATCAAAATAAGTAATTAAAAAAAATACAAACATGGCAAGAAATTAATTACTAGAAAATTACTAAAAATTCATTACATTACATTGCACCATGGTTGCAACTAAGTTTAGCATAATTCCACCATGTCTGGAGCCTGCAAAAATTTATGGATACACTTGACTTAGAAGTCTCCTTGAAGTTTTAGCTCCTTATTGCACAAAGTCATTCCCTGAGGTAAGTCTTCATAGGCACAAGCTCCAAGAACACAGGACTCACAAACTGTGTCTTGCCAGGGCATAATGCTAAAATAGTGATATACAAGTTGTGAATGACATTCCAACAGAAAAGTCAGTAAAAGGATGGCTCCTCCTCCATAACTTTGTCCATAATGTTCCTAAGCAACACAAATTTGTAGGCATTTCACTGCTGCAATTACAGTGATCTCTCAGATAAAATTGGTACAGCTTCAGTCTGCAGTCTTGAGTAATTTTGGAACCCTGTAATTAGTTTTATCAGAAGAAAGGCTCAGATTATTTCATTTCACATAGAGTAAATAGAGAGTTAATTTATAGTGGTTTCCATGTTCTCTACATTTTAATATAAAATTAAATACGTTTGCTTTTGTCCTCTATTTTTGATATTTTAAGCAGCAGATGCCTATCCAAGAAGTCTCAATATCCTAAAAAACTGAGCACCATAAAGCCCATCAGTCTGTTTATTCTGGAAACTTTTTACTGATAAGAATTGTACACAGAATACATAAAACATTATAGCCACCTCGTGTGGCACTGTGCCACCTCGCAAGTTCATGGTGTCTATCTTGCATGAATTAAACACTATAAACATTTTTAATGAGCCTCTCAGGAAACATCATCATTCGTTAAATCAATGATAATTCGCCCCACATGAAGAACCTTGCTTTCTAATCTATCCTTAGTTTCTAGTGTATACAATTCA